TCCTGATACACTTTTCTTTTGCCTGAAACTTTATAAATTGTTTCTTATATGTGTGTACAAATCACTGGATTTCATGTCTCTGTCAATTTCTTAATGAAATCAGTACTGATGGAAATGGGAAATTTCAGTTTTGTTTTGGTTTTGATTGTGTGGGTATTTGGGAGACTCTGATTTGGAATTAGAGAACACTTGAGTGGGTTGTTAAGGTATTACAGAACCTTTTCAAATGTAGGAGACCAGAACTAAAACAGAGATGGGTGCTTTATAATTTTGGTACCTTAGGATGGTTGTAAATATATACTCAACATTCTTGATGGTTTATAGTAAGTGAAAGAAAGAGAAAAACCAAGGGGAACTTTTAGACTTTTATTGTAAAGAACTGAGCAGAAGGTGGTGCCAACGAAAATGAAAAAGAGTAGTTGCCTCTCATTGTTCTTCCTTTTCAAAGTTTTCCTGATTATCTTTTATTTTTCTATATTAACTTTAGTATCAAATTACATTCTTCCAAAAAAAGTCCATTTTTACTGGGCTTTTATTACATTTGTAATGAACACAGATAGAATTCTAATCTTAATGTTATTAAATATTTATATCCAAGAACATAGTTTATCTTTCTAGTTCCTTGGTCTTATGTATATCTTTTGGTGTTATTCTGGAGATTTTCTTTTACTACATAGATTTTGCACATTTTGTATTAAGCTTATATTAAGTATTTTCTCTTTTGTACTATAGTGAGGCCTGTTCTTACAGTATATTTTATAAGATGTTATATATGTAAGCTATTTACTTCTGTATATCAGTTTCTTACTTGATTAATTTATTGAATTCTGTCAATGTGTCTCATATTAGTCTAGTTTTTTAGATTTATCAAATACATTTTAACTTTTATAGCTTTTTCTAGTTTCATTTGTTTATTGTTCTTTAACTTCTGAAGTTAAATGATTCATTTACTTATTTCTGTTTTATTGATATAATAATTTGTCTGCAAATTTTTTAAGCATTGCTTTATGTTTATTTTATAGGATCTAATGTGAATTGTTTTCATTATAAATCTTTCTAAAAAGTTTGCAATATTGTTTTGTTTAATTTGACCGAAGAATGGTTTAAAATAGAATTTTTAACATCTTCCATTAGAAGAATCTCTTTATGAAGGGTCTTTTTTTTTTCCAATTTTGTCAATAATTATAATTGTACTGAGTTATAATCAAATAAAATTATAGTCTAATTATCTACTTTTTGATATTAATTAAAATTTTCTCTGCAACCAAGTTTATACCATTAAAAAAATGTCCTTTGGGCACATGAGAAGAAAATGTATTATTTATTTTCTGAGTTTGATATATTATAGTCATATATATATATCATTAATTAAGTTATTGACATTTTCTGTATTCTTGATCTGTCATGAACTGAGAAAGGTATTCAAAAATAAACAAAGACTATATTTTGTTTCTATATATATCTCCTATAATTCCTGCTTATAGGAATTCTATTTATTTTTGTTACTTATGTATTTATTATTGTTCTATCTTTATTTGAATGACTCTTTTACTTTATAATATGTACTTTATAATGTATTTGTTTTATTTAGTGCTGAATTTTTGTTTGACAAAAAAATTCTTTTTTGACATTTTCCTGCTACATGTTTGCTTTCAACATTTTTTAATTCTGAATAACTTTGTTTTATGTGTATAGTATATATCGTAGAGAATTACCGAAGCATACAATTAGATTTTGCTTTGTAAGTCAATTTGAAAATATTTTTCTTTCAAATAAATAATTTAAGGAAATTTATATTTGTTTATATGATAAATATATATGGTAAAACTATCATTTTATGTTCTATTTTGTTGTTTTTATTTTTTACAGTTTTTTTCTCATTTGTGCATTTAAAAAATATATTTAAGAAGGCTTTGGTTATCGTAATATTTATAACATTATATAATACTCTTAATTCTCTATTTATTTACAGGAGAGCTACTGATAATCTAGTAAAATAAATAAATGATAAAATATTTTTATTTCCTCCCTTGATTCCATTTCTTTTGTCTCCGACCTGGTGTTTGCCAGTAAAGACTATTTGAAAAATAAATGTTCCTATACTTTTATGATCTGTTTTGTCAATATTTAAATGTTTGTTGATGCCTATAATTATATATTGGACAATCAACAAACTTTCTCATCTGTGGCTTTTCTCATTCTAATTTTGTTAGTTGCATTATTTCTGCATAGGAAAAGCAAGGACCATTTACATTTGTCTGTGTTTTAGTCTGTTTTGTTCTGCAATAGCAGAATATGACAGACTGGGTAATTTATAAGTAATAGAAATTTATTTCTGAACAGCTCTGGAGGTTGAAAGTTCAAGATCAAGGTGCCAGCATCTGGTGAGGGCTTTCTTACTGCACCGTCTCATGGTGGAAGGCAGAACGGCAAGAGAGGGAAAGAGCAAGACAAAAGTAGGCTGAACTTGTTCATTTATAAGGAACCCACTTCTGCAATAACAGCATGAATCCATTCATGAGGGCAGAGCCTTGGTGTCCTAATCACCTCTTAAAGGTTCCATCTCTTAATATTGTTACAATTGCAATTCCATTTCAACATGAGTTTGGGAGAGGCCAAATATTCAAACCATAGCAGTTTGTCACTCCAATCCTCACACTTTATTTTAAACTCTTGGTCCTATAATAATATATAGTTATAATTTTCTACAGTCCTTTTGCTAGTTTCCTCAGACATACTTTGATTAAGTAAACTTTATCTTTGAGCATGTTCCTTAGGATAGACTTATGGGAACAATATTTCTTGTGTTTTCAAAATTGTTTGTAACTTGTCATCTTGGAGGCAGATTTCACTGGCTATAAAAATCCTTTACTCCCATTTGTTTACATGAATCTCTTGTAGATACGCAATGAGATACCACCATCTCACACCAGTCAGAATGGCTATTATTAAAAGTCAAAAAATAACAGATGCTTGTGAGGTTATGGAGAAAAAAGAATGTTTATATACGGTTAGCGGGAGTGTAAATTAGTTCAATCATTGTGGAAAACAGCATGACATGTCCTCAGAGACCGAAAAACAGAACTACTGTTTGACCCAGCAATCTTATTACTGGGCATACACTGAAAGGAATATAAATTGTTCTATCATAGACACATGCACACATTTATTGCAGCACTATTCACAGTCACTAAGACATGGAATCAACCTATATGCCCATCAATGGTAGACTAGATAAAGAAAATATGTGTGTATGTGTGTTTATATGCACATACCACTTACATACATGCATGTGTGCACACATACACATACACCATGGAATACATGCAGCCGTGAAAGAATGAGATTGTATCCTTTACAGGAACCTGGATGGAGCTGGAGGCCATTATCTTCGGCAAATTAACGCAGCAACAGAAATCAAATACTGCATGCTCTCACTTATAAGTGGGAGCTAAACGATGAGAGCAAATGGACAGGGAGAGGGGAACAACAGACACTGAGGCTTACTGGTGGGTGGAGGTTAGGAGGAGGCAGGGAGCTAGAAAAACTAGTTAATGGGTACTAGGCTTCATACCTAGGTGATAAAATAATCTATACAATAAACCCTCATGACATGAGCTTACCTATATCACAAACCTGCTCAGGTACTCTTGAACTTAAAATAAGTTAAAAGCAAATAAATAAATAAGAATTTTGGTTTAATATTTGGTCATAATGTTCAACTTTCTATGACATTTTTTGTTGAGTTTATTGGTAAGTGCTTAATTTTTTTTTTTTTTGCTTTTATTTTGCCTTTTGTCTTGGTTCTGACACTTTTTAAATATATCTTTTTATTGAATTTTTAAAAATTTGCATATGGTAAAATTTATTCATTTTGGTGTGCAGTTTCATTAATTTAGACAAATGCATGTAGTCATCTATTAAATTAACTAGTTTAACACCACTTGAATCAGAACAGCTTCATCACTTCCCACATTCCCCTGGGTTTGCTCTTGCATAATATCTTTTTATTACTGCTGTGTCACATCTAGTTTTATTGCTCATCATTGAATGAGATGGATGTTCTTAGATCTGCTATTTACAGGACACTTCTGCTGGGGGGTAGAGGAGGTCCTGTGCAGCCTTCTGACTCCTTTATTACCTTCACAAAGTCAGACTGCTTCCTTCTAAAATAGCCCCTCTATGTGAGTGTGTTACCACCCACTCTGAACTATACCAGGTCCCTGAAGGCTCTTCTGCCTTTATTTATGTTCTCACTGCCCCAGTTAAGAAAGCTATATTGTTTGCACAGTGGGATGAACTTTTCATAGAAGTGTAATTTTGCAGTCAATTTCAGGGATCTGCCGCTGCCGGCCATGTTGTCATTGTCTGCATTTCTTTGCTGCCTTTCTCCCTGTATAGTATCTACTAATTGCTGCTTTTGGTTACTCTTAACATGTTTTTGGAGTCTGTAGAAAAAAGATCTTCCAGTTTTTCTAAAAATGGAGAATGGGGATCATGTAACTTTTGTTAGTTTTGTTAACTGTGTAGCATTTGCACATCTTCCAGGAGAAAACAAGATGCAGTCTTAGCCATATTCTTACCAAAAGTCCTTCTCTTGACTGCACTTTATCACCAACTTTCCCTCACTACCCTTTCATGGCTCACACTGTAAATATTGGAATCTCTTGCCTCTCTTGTTCATTCATCAGTCCCTTAAGGTTTTCATATAAAAGCTTCCTGTGATGTACCATAACCTATGACAAAAAAATTTCGCTATTTTCTAAATACCTACTTTCAAAGTTGGTTAGTTTTTTTGTTCACTTATCTTGTTGCTTTTGATATTTGTTTGCCTGCCATTATGAAGACAACTATCCTGTATACTAATGTATTAAGTGATTTAGTCATGTCAAAGTAGCTTTTCTACTCTTAGGAAATAAGTGAAACTCTTCTAGATTTAGAGCATCTGTAAAATTTTTAAAAGTTCAGTAATCATGAATAGAAATTCTTCTGTATTCCAGGTGATGCAACTGTGACAATAGCTCACAGATATACCCCCAAAGAACAACTGAAGATTCATACACAACTGGCAGATATTATCATAGTTGCTGCAGGTAAGTCCTTAGTGACTGTTATTTGTTGGAATGTCATCAGCAGAGTAATTCCTGCCCTAATTGCTGACACGTTTGAAAGCTTTTTGAGAGAGTTAGGTGTATGTATGACTAACTTCTGTTGGTTGGATTCTGTCTCTTGGCAATCATTTTATCAGTACATTGTACCTATGTTAGCATTAGTTACTTCATTATGGAAAACCCAAACAGCTTTTGGGATGACAGATAAAGCACAAGAACCATGTGCAGTTTTCTAATTGCTTTGACAAACATGGTTTAACAGCATTTACAGAAAAAGGTTTGGTGCGGGTAAATTATACATTGTAGCTATGGGGAACAATAAAACTTGTGTATTAAGGAACACAGAATGTTCAGATGAGGGGAAAAGATAGTCACTATGCTGCCCTAGACATGCCAGGCTGAAGAATTTCATGTTCTGAAGTCAAGGCTTTAGCAGAAAAGTTGTTGGACAAGACCATGTCCAAAGGAGAGCATCTAGGATGAAAATCTTTCAAAAAAATATAACATATGAAGTTTGGCCTGATGAACTGAGGATGTTTGGTATGGAAGAAAGAATGACCTAAAGAAGAGATACAACAGCTTTTTTTTTTTTTTTTTAGCAACAACAACAAAAAGCAAGCCCAAACTTTTATAATTAATAAAAGCTGCCTCAAAGTCACCAGTTCTTGAGATAGTAAGTTCCTTATTATTACAGTAATTAGCAAAATAGATAAAAACCTAAGTGGGATTTCATAGAGCATTATTTATCATTGTTTATTGGCTTTTGCTCCATTTTGGAAGACAAAAATTCATCCCTTCTTTCAACATTATCACAATATTTTCATAAATTAAACAACATAACTAAAATGCATGTAAACAGTTGTAATTATTTTGAACATATGTTCTATGGGGAAAGAATTCATTCTTTCTTTACTCCCTACCATTTAGGACCATTTTAGAGAATATCTATGTACTAAGTACTAGGTTGGTTTTAGTATTTCCCTCAATGATGAGACTCTTTAATTCTCTATTTTAATATATAAAAGAAAGCTTTATGAAACATAATACGTATATGTTTATACATATATTTCATAAGATTTCATAAATTAAATTTATTTAAATTTATTTGTGTTTTTCTACAGAGTAAGTTGACAGGAAAGATATTTTAGAACATAGAAAAGGCTGGAGTATGGGGCTTGTGTATGGATAACTCACTTACAGATATTGAGAGTTTGTTGTATATTCTGATTTTTATTAAACATGAGTACTTTTGAATAGCAAAGACAGTACTAAATTCATGCATTCATTCAATAAATATTAGACCTTCCTTATGCAGCAGTATCTGTTTTAAAGTTTAGGAATACAGCAATGGATACAAATGATAAAATGCCAGCCCTCGTAGAACTTACATCTTGGTGGAAGAGAGAGCAAATAAAAAGTAAAATATAGTGTCAGATAGTGATAAGTGCTATAATAAAATTGGTTGAAGGAATAATGTTTTGGGCGTACTGTTTTAGATTGATTGATTGGTGAAGACCTTTCTTGGGAGGTGACCTTTTGAGTAGAGTCATTGTCCCAGCCATTCTCCATTTGCCCACCAGCCCCAATCTCTGCCCTTCCCTGCCCTGGTCTGGCCCTGAGAGGCTGACTAATAAGGATGGCCTCACCTGTGTTCCTCCGCCACTGGCTCCCATCAAGGTTTGGCACCAGTAGGATATCTGAAGGAGAAGAGAAAGGTCAAGTGATGGTATTTCTTCTCTACTCTCTTCCACTTTTACTCTCTTTCTGCTTCCTCCTTCATGGATAGCTTTTGTTTAGCATCCTTTCTCTGACAGCTGACGCTCTCATTGGGCTGCAGTAACATCGTTTCCTCCCTTACCCCTACAGACTTAGGAATGGTACAAGCTTCCTCCAGTTTCTAATCTCTAAGAGCTGTAACAGCTTTTGTTTTTTCTCTTACCCTAAATATATCTCTGTAAAAATTATTTCATTACTGTATGGGGTGGATTCTGCTTCCCATGGAGACACTGACAGAAACAGATCTGTATGAAGTAAAGGCACAAATCAAGAACCATTCCTGGAGGAAGAGCATTCCAAGCAGAGGGAACAGCAGATACCAAAGTTCTTAGGCAGGAGCATGCTTCATGTGTTCCAGAACACAGGAATTTGAGGGTTCATTATATTACTCTGATTTTAATTAACTAATAATAAATTATGAGGATACTAGTAGGAAATGTTGTTGGGAAGGTAGCCAAGGTTAGCTCATATAGAACGTTGTTGGCCATGGTGAGGATTTTGATATAAGCCAAGAATGGCTGACAGCAGGAGATCAAATGATCTGACTTATGCTTCAACGGAGTGATCATACCTTTAAAAACATGTCAGACCTTATGTCTGAAGTTGTTTCAAGAACTGATTCTAGAGGTGCAAAAGTAGAAACAGAGAGAAAAGGTATTGCAATTTCATTTCATGGATCTAGATGTTGCTCTAATTTGTTTTATATTTGGATACACAGTTTCAATCAAATTTAATAACATATCTGATTCTTCTGTAGGCCTTTTTCTGGAATCTAGACTATATACATGACTGCAGGAATAGCAGTTGGCTCCTAATAGAGTAAAAGCAGCAATGTTTTTTTTTTCCCTGAAAAAAAATCGGTAAGCTGGCAAAGATAACCGTATCACATTTACATTTCCTTTTTTTCTGAGAAATTATATTTGGGTGATACCAAATGAAAACTTTGAACTTCATTGACAGAAGTCAGGGATGTTTAGAGAGTTAGTAAACTTTTTCAGACCACAGATCAACATTAAGTGAAATACTGCTGCAGCCACTGGTACCTTCATGGCAGATAAATATTATACTGACTTCTTTTTATAGAAGAAGTTTTTTATAGTTGTGTTCACACACAAGACTCAGCATTTGTTAAGTAAAGAGGCATCTGAATGCTCGTCTTTGTCCACTTTTAAACTTAGGCAGAATGAAATTTACATTATCTTTAAAAGGTATTATTTAACTAATGTTAACAACTTAAAGTTGTACAGAATATTTCACAGTTGCTCTTAGGTACCATTTGTCAAATGTAATATTGAATGAATATTTTATTTAACGGAGTAAAGTCTCTCAGCATGCCTTCCTACTTGTGGTTTGTTTTGTTATTATGACAAATAGCACACGGGTGCTCTCAATCCACTTGCAAGAAACACTGATACTCTCTTCTGACTAAGTTTAACCTTATACCATAATGCCAGCCAACACTGTTGTCATCCTTGAGTTTATCCTCTGGCTTCCTTTGTAAAGGCCTAAATCAGCATTGAGTAAAGATATTTAAAAAGAAGACAGGAAGGAAAAAGAAAAGGAAAATAAAGGAAAAGAAGGACAAGGAAGACTCAAGCCTATATAAAACAAACAGGACAGGAGCCAGCAGGCACTCAAGCCTCTAGGTGTGGTGTGTGCTGAGGCTGTCCCACGACTATCCCGCTGAGGGTATTCTCTTACCACCAGAGGGCGCCAGTCAGGTGAACAGCTAATTCAAATGTAGCGAAGTTGGCCATACACCATCCTCCTACTCCTAGTTAGAAGATATTTAAACAAAGATAGTGGGAACAAGTCCTGTTCCTTGCTTTTTTATTTAACCTTTAATGCCACTTCCTAAATACAAAAGTATTTTGAATGCTGGAAGACAGATTTGTATATAGTTCTACAGTCTTCTTGAAGAAATAAATATTTAGCAAATGGGAAATTTAAGGAAGAAAATTAAAAATTTATAAGAAATAACTAAAGATTGCTATATTTTCAGTTAATTAATAATCACTTGGAGAAGTTAATGATAAAACATGTAGAGATTTATAAATTATAGAAAAAAACGAGTGAATATAAAAAGACATTCCATGTAACCAGGCAATAGGAATAAAGTATTACCAAAATGACCATATCATACATTGTGTGGGAAACAAACAAATGTAAATAGTGGGTATTTAAAAAGGAGATAGTGATCTAATGGCAGAGGTAGACAGAACGGGGAGTGCTGGATCACCGTCCGGATGAAAATGTGAGCATATATGGAAACAACCTCATCTAGGTGAACTCAGAAAGAGTAGAAGGAGGAGGAGTATGTGATATATATCAGAAATAGTGATAAAGTCTGAGAGATGAGAATGAAGAATGTGATGATGAAATCTTGACACGAGCTTGAAAAAAGTAAAAGAAAAAATCCTTGTATGAAGATCCTGAGACATGAATAGTATTAGCTTATGTTAATATTAATGTCATCCCTCCAGTTTCTCACAGTTCTAATCCTACAGGCTTAACTATATATCACTTACCTTTTAAAAGCTGCCCCCAAAATTGAGATTTAGACTCAGAAGCTCAGATCTGCAGAATCAGACCCTGTCACACTATGCAATTAGAAGTAAGAAATTTCAAGTCCCTACTTAAAGCCACATCTTTGAGTTCACAGGGAGAATTAACAAGTTTTTAAGGTGCTTTAATGTTCCATGGTTACAGCACTTAGTACCTGTTTATAGTTGTTATCTTCACTAGACTATGGCATGAAAAGGCCTGGGGGTTTTTTTGTTTGTTTTTTTAAGCTTGCTAGGCAAGTGCTTAGAATGATACCTAACACACAGTGAGTGCCTAATAAACGTGAGCTCTGTTGATTTTGAGATTATAACTAGAAAACGACTTTTTCAAATTGATACATATTTAGCGGATATATTTGAAATAATATATTTTTTTAAAGATGGAATCATTATTCTAGTTGTTGGTTGATTTACAGTGTAGCATTATTTTTGGGAACTACCAAATGTTCCCAGTTTGTCATCATAAAGTAGTTGATAAAGCGATAAAAAGTGAAGTATTCATTCATGAAAGAGTAGTTCATGTCATTAAGTGTATGAATGGGCTGATTTAGTTATAAACGTTAAGATTAAGAAATGATGGGAAAGGTGGCCAGATGCAGTAGCTCACACCTGTAATGCCAGCACTTTGGAGGCTGAGGCAGG